CTATTTTAAAATTATAACCTCAAAAAATTAAGAATATAAAAGTTTTGTCTAACCCACTATAGAAAACTGCTTGGTGATTAGGTGAGGCGAGCCTCCAAGGGCGCCTTGTTGCCTAAGCGTCGCCTAGGTGCCCACATTGACAACTATGTTAGCGACTACTGGCCAGTTCCTGCATAGGTCATCAAAAGAAAAATCAGCAAACATATTGAAGGTTTTCAACCAATGGATTGCTTCTGTCAAAACACAGTCCTTCAACTCAGCCAAGCTTCTTTCCTTTTCTAGGAATATTCTAGCATTCCTTTCCTCCCAAACAGTCCATAAGGTAGCTGCCCTAAGACATTTCCACATGATTTTACCTCTCCTCATTTGCCACCCAAAAATAGGAGTAAATAGCAAGCTAACATTAGATGGCTAGATCCACCTACAACCAAATAAACTAAAGTTCCAATTCCATAACTCTGTAGCAAGAGAACAAGATATCAGTAAATGGAAGCAGCCCTCACTTTGCGCCTTACAAGGGGAACACCAATTCGGGGAAAGACAAAGAAGAGGTCTCTTTTTCTGCAAGTTTTCCAAAGTATTGATTTTCCCATGGAACCTCCCAATAGAAAGCAACAATTTTGGGGGGAATAGGTCTTGCTCAAACTTTTTTAACAAGAAACTCTCGGGGGTTTAACCTGAAGCTTAGGGATTTTAGAAAAGAAGTGCAAGTAAAGGTACCTTTAGGTAAGGGAGTCCAAACTCTTTAGGTTTTGTGGAATCTAAACAAACTGATTCAAGTAAATGAAGCAACTTAGTAACACAAGTAAACTCACCGTCCCTTGGACTTGTCGAAACCTAAAGTCCCAGTTTAAGGATAAGGGAAGCAACGGTTCCAAGAGACACTTTGAAATTGGCTCATTTTTGTAAAGGGAAAGGGAGTATAAGGAAGGGAACTGATCCTTGAGGGGTTGGTTACCCACCCAAATATCCTCCCAGAACCGAATAGAATTACCAGAACAAGCATTATACCTAACAAACCTGAGGAAGTAAGGTAGAATACTCTGTATGGCTTTCCAAGGTGTTGTGAGGGTAGCCTGATGAGATATCCTAGCATCCCAACCATTTCTTGAGTATCCATGAATACTTGACATCACTTCATGCCATGTATCCATGAATACTTGACATCACTTCATGTCTGTCGGGGATTATTTGACTCAGTTGTGAACTTTATAACATTAAAATACCCCCCAAACACCATGGGCCTTCCCATAAGCCATGTATGCCATGAAGCTCTTCCCATAACTCATTCCTCTCTCTATAGCTATTTGGCCCATACACATTTGTTAACACCCATATAAATCCGTTTTCCACCATTCTAAATTTTAGGGAGATAGTAAAGTTTCCTATCGGCTCCTCAACTAGTTCTATGCAGTCTTCCCTCCACAAAGTTACTATTCCCCCAGAGGCTCCCCAAGATGGAGTTGAGCACCACCTCACTCCTCTTACTCTCCAAGCCTCTCTAACTCACCTCCTGTCTAGTTCAGCCAACTTTGTCTCCTGAAGCATCACTAAATCAGGTCTTTCTCCCTAAGCAACTCCTTAATCATTCTCTTTTTTCTAGCATTGCCTAGACCTCTCACATTCCAACTGATGATCTTCATTGACCTACTTGATATAAACCCTCCAAGACATTATCTTCCATCATTTAAAGGCGTTTTTTTTTCTCTCCCCTCTTCCACTAAATTCAATATCTCCTCCAATGTCCAAAATGAGTCTCTCTACTTCAGATCTTTTCTTCTTTTTCCTGCCCTTATTACCCACAGACTTCCTAGACAGCTCTTTATTTCCTGTTTCCTGCACCAACCTATTGGGGCTAGCAAGAGGTTTAGATTTATTTGGGGTTTCCTCCACCATCTCTTCTTTCTGTTTGTATTCCTCCAACAAGGTACAGATCTGCTCCCAAATCCGTTCCAATTCTTCCTCGTTTTTTTTACTAAAGGATCCCCCTTCTCAATACCAATTCCAACACTCTCCTTCACCACTCCCCTGCTACTGGTTGGTTGTTCTGGCTGTGATGTCAGGATATCTGGTACAGGCATAGCACCTAGGTTAGTATCTAAAAACAAATAGACAGGCTTACCTGAAGGTAATGAAGGTGGGAGCAATGTGCTCTGAAGAGGGGTTTCAATTGTTGAGTTCAAGACCAAACCCTTTCCTTGTTCCTTATTCAGCTGCATAAGTGRACCAGGTTTAACCGTAACATTTTCACCCCCTACAGCCAAAGATACCTCACTAGTCTTTCCCTTTATGTATTCCTTTACATAAGGCGTCAAAGAAGATTCCCTTCTCTCTGGCCCAATATCTTAAGTCTGCTATGTTAATGGAATAGGCTCATTTATTGGAACAGGTGTAAGCTTCCGAACCTCTGTAATCGCTACTAAACCCGTTTGATTTTTGTTTGACACTTTGTTGCAGTCTTGTGGTACCATTTTCTCCTCTGGAAATAATACCTCAGTGTTTAAGCTATCCTCCTCGAAAATATCTTTTGATTTTTGGAGGTCAAGGCTTCCCCATTTCCGAGTCTGGGATGTCTATTTCACTTCGCTTTACACATCTTGGATTACGGCGATCCTGTGTAGACCGAGACAACTTCTTTGCAGGGACCCACTGTAGCGAGTTGGAAACTTTTACAGACTTGTTCGAGCGAGAGGAGGAGCTCGAGGAAGACGATGGTAGGTTCTGTTTCCCGTCTATTTGCGAGCCCCCCCCTGTCACATGCTCCTTTAAGTCTGCACATGCCCCTTTAAGGCAACACTCAGTTTGTTTGGGCCTGGCTAGCCAAGAGGCCTTTAAGAGCCCAATATCCGCTGGGTCAACTGGTGCATGGTTTTCCACCACTACAAGGGCCCCGGTCTGACCCGAAGGTTTACCCCCCATTCTCCAGATCAACCATTACTAACAACGGTCCTTCCCCTTCCTTGCAGAAGATAATTCATTAACTCCATTCAAAAAATTTTGTTTGGTGCCCGAATCTACTACCTGGGCAAAAGTTTTATTGGTTTTCAAACCTTTGCCTTGTAGCCCACGATTTTTACTATCTTCTTGACCCAAACCTTTTGGACTGCTTAAAGGTTGTCTTTCCATTTTGGTGAAATATCCCAGTTCCTTTTGTTTATCCAACCACATGCTTCCATGTAGTTCCATCTCCTCTACCTTCATGTCTTCCTCTTGCCTGGCTTCCCTCCAGAGTGCAGCTTCAATGGAGGAAGCTAACCAAGCTGGTAAGAATAAACCATTCACTCCAGTAGTCACCTTCCTCGGTATATCTTCTGTTTTTACTCCACCCAGTAGGATGGCTGCATTTCGAAGGTCTCCCTAGAACACACCATCAAGGCGAGCACCACACAGTAACACGATAGTGTTTTCTGTCTCTTGATTCCAAAGATGGAAAGGCAAACCATCTACTCGAACAGTCACATTATCCTCCACTGAGAAGAGCTTTGAGTTAGAAGATGGAGACCATTTAAAGATTGAGAAGGTCCCCAAAGTATCCTGAATACATAAGGCATCGATATCTACCTGGTTTTCAAGGGGATCGAGAACTGCCATAGCTTGATCAAATGGAGTTAACATAAAAGTGTTCTTTAACCCCAGTTTGAACCTCAAAAGTTCTGCAACTTTCCACCAATCGTGTACTAACTTTTCAGCTTCAGTCACTAGCATGATTTCCCATTGCCCTGTTATCCCCTCTACTACTATGGAGGGATTCCTACTGTTATTTACCAAGGCTGGGAAGTCCTGTTTTTGTTCCTTTTTCTCACACAAAACAGGACTGCTAATGAACTGGTTCTGATCATTTCCTCCATATTCTATTCCCTCATCGTCCTCCATCTTCCTTCTATTTGTGAAGCTTGTTAATATATCAGCCACCCTTTTCCAACCTTGACTATTTTTCCCTGCAGGGAAACAGACAATTTGTTTTCTTCCTTTAGCAAAATATTCAGTGAGGGATATGAATGCACCTTTTGCATTCTTCTTGCTTTCCAGCACATACCTCCTACTCGTCTCTGAGAAGTTTTCTTTCCTAACTTGTCTGCTTCCCTTTAGTTGCTGCATCAGATACAAATCCTTTCAGCCAGGCAATCATTTCTAAGCCTTCCACAATCACTGTAGCCTTTTTCYGTTCTCTCATCTTCAAGCTGAGTCTTCCTCTAATCCGCATTTCTTCAAAAAGGAAATCTTTAGCCTCCACCTCCATTTCCACGAACTCTTTCTCCACTCTTCCTTCCATCTTCTATTTCTCTGAAAGAACTAAAAGTGTGCCACCCCTCCCACTGACATTTGGAATCAAGAAAAACCGAAGGCAAGGAAAATTAAAGTGTCCTTTTCATTCAGGAGGGGGTTACAAAGTACATAGAAAACTTCACAAAGCAAGACCTAATTAGAGGTTCTGATTCTACCACCACGTTATAATAATCTTGTATAGCTAGGTTAATTACCAATATCAAATTCAGTCACTTAGCTGTTATCAAACAGCTGACAGAATTATTACTGAATTCATCCTTTGTAATGTTGTTAGACTTGGTAAATTTGATCAAGTCAATGTTTCTAAGAATTGAAAAACCAAATAACAGTTTTGGCTTCTAGTTCCTGGTTCTGGTGGTCCAACAACCATCAGGTCTGATCTAAGCCTTATTAATATTGGTCCCAACACTATAGGGTCCTAACCAATACTGCCCTTTCTCCTATACTGTACCCCTGTTCTTAGCGAAGTCTATATTTACGGATTTTCTAATATCACTATAACTACCTGTTATTAGTGATCTTATAACTTTTTACATCAATAGATCAATTTGATATTTTGTGGTTTGCATTGATGAATTTGACATTCCTTCTCGTATTAATGAACATTAGGTGCTTATTTATGTAGATATTTCTCCAATTGAGTTTTGGTGGATGGTCTGAGATGCATTATGTGGCCTCACTAATTCCTATACTTCCTTTTTTGCTGCATGCAGAAACCCTTCCCATTGGGGAAAATTGTGCTTTCTTTCTACACCAGATGGGGAAAACTGTGGGCTCGTAAAAAATTTAGCTATCACAGGACTTGTGAGTACAAATTCTGTGGAGCCTTTGTTGGACATATTATTGAATTGTGGTATGGAGAAACTGGTAGACTGTAATTCTCCAGCTTCAGTGAGTGGAAAGGATAAGGTTTTCCTTAATGGAGAGTGGATTGGTGTTTGTATAGATTCTGCCAAATTTGTTAGGGATCTGAGAAATAAGCGTAGGAGTAAGGAAATCCCACACCAGGTTTTCTCTTCTTCCTTTGTGTAATGTTCAATTTTTTCCAAGTTAAAACTTATTTCGTACATTGTTCAGATGCCACTTTTCTTGCATAAATATTAGGTCTTGTTCAAAGATAAAATGATGATGTGATTTTTATATTTGGAGATTTTTGCTTGTGTTAAATTAAGAGCTTCCCAAGAAACTAGCTGACAAAGAATAAACATCCAGATTTTTCTGTTTTCAAATTACATGCATATACAATTGAATGTATTTATGTTTTCATGCAATTAAAACCATGTGCATGTCTAGTTTGTCAATTTTCTGCTCAACAATAATCTCAACTAAGTTTGTGCAAAAGGAAAAGGAAAATAATTATATGATTGAATTACATGAGCTTATTGATAATAATCTCTTGTTGCTAATCAAAAAGGGCTTGTTAATGAGTTAAAGTACAACTTAATTATGTCATTTCTTTACATGTTATGTTTATGTATTTTAATTTTGGATAATAGGATTTTTACTTTTTTGACACATTTATTTTAAAATTTAAGTTTATATTTTTATTAATATTATGTTTATTATTTTTTGGCATTTTTTGAAATTTTTGAAAAATTTTACCAATTTTTATTTTGCGACTTGCTTCAAAAGCGCACCTTGCCTTGCACCTTGTGCCTCGGGCGCAAATTGACCCCTACACCTTGCGCTTTTAAAACACTGACACTTTTTTCTATGGATATATCCAAAGCACCTAGTCCGTATGGGTTCACAATGGCATTTTATCAGGATTGTTGGGACATACTCAAATATGACATTCAAAGGGTGTTTAATGAATTTTTTGGGAGGGGGGGTGATAAATCCGGGTTTAAATTCTACTTTCATTTTATTGGTACCAAAAAAGAGTGGTGCAAGTAACCTAGGAGAGTTCAGATCTCTCAACTTGGTAAGTAGTGTATACAAAATTATTGCTAATGTGCTTTCTTGGAGGATTGGAGTTGTGCTTCCATCCATTATCTCACCCAATCAAGGTGCCTTCGTGAAGAATAGACAAATTATTGATTAGATTCTAATTGCTAATGAAAGTGTGGCGTATTTGGAAGAATTTGAAAAGAGAGTTTGGTTTGTAATATGGATTTGAAAAAGGTGTATGATATGGTTGATTGGTCATTCTTGTTGGGAGTGATGGAAAAATTGGATTTGGTGAGAGGTGGTGCAAGTGGATATGGGGCTGTATTAGGACATGCCACTACTCCATTTTGATGAGTGGAATTTGAAGTTGGTGGTTCAATTATATGAGCAAATGTCAAATTTGAAAATAAATTTTGATAAGAGTTGTGCGGTCTCTTAATGGCCATTGAATTATCTAGGACTGACTTTAGGGGATAGTTTGAGAAATAGTAATTTTTGGAACCTAATGGTGGATAAATTCACTAAGAGGTTAGCGTCATGGAAGAAAAGTAGTCTTTGGGTGGTAGGATCACATTGATAAAGTCCACTTTAACCTATTTTCCTATCTATTTTTTTATTAAGTTTTAGAATCCTAGAAGGGGTGAGCAGAAGTTTAGAAAAATTCACGAGGTATTTCCTGTGGGACTATTAACAATAGAATAGAGAAATAAGGAAGAAGAAGAGAAAGGAGAGAGAGGAGAGAAGGGAGAAGAGAAAAGAACGTTTTGGAGTCAACTAGAACTAGCTGGCGGTGCTAGCTTATATTATTATATATAGGGCGACCATAACTAAAAGGGAAAAAACCCTTATGCCCCTACTTAAGTTAGAGTACATAAACAAAGATAAAAAACTACTTTAACCAGACCAAACGGACCCTAACTTAGTAGAATGCAAACATAAAAGATAAAGCAAACATTACAACACTCCCCCTCAAGTTGGGACATGGATGTCAATCATGCCCAACTTGTCACACAAATTATTATGCCGCACATGATGTAGGCCCTTGGAAAAGATGTCTACAAGTTCTTTTGAACTAACATATGGAGTGCACACTTCTTCGCTCACAAGTTTTTCTCTAAATGCTTGTCCACTTCAATATGTTTTGTTCTATCATGGAGGACTGGGTTAGCAGCAATTGATAACAACTTTGTTGTCACAGTAGAGTGACATAGGTTTGTTAACTGCACAACCCAACTCTCCTAGCAAGTTTTTTATCCACATGATTTCAGCAACTCTACTGTGACAATATTCTGCTTCAGCACTGGATCTAGCCAGCACACTTTGCTTCTTACTTCCCTAGGTGACTAAGTTTCCCCCCACAAAGGTACAATACCCATTGGTAGATTTTCTGTCATTGACTGCCCTTGCCCAATCARCATCTGTGTACACCTCCACCTTCAAATGCTCATGTTTCTGGAATAGCAAACCAGCTCCTGGGAACTTCTTGAGGTATCTAAGGATCCTTTTTGTAGTTTCAAAGTGAGTTGTCTTAGGTTATGCATGAACTGACTAAGAACACCCACTGCATAGGCAATATCAGGTCTGGTCATAGACAAATATAAGATTCTCCCTTAAAGTCTTTAGAACTTCTTCACATCTTTCAAAACCCCCCCTGACTGTCTCCYAGCTAATGGTTAGGTTCAATGGGTGAATCAATTGTTTTCACTCCTAACTTGCTTGTATCCTCTAATAGATCTAGTACATATTTCCTTTGGGAAATAAAGATGTCCTTTTGAAAGCGGGCTTCTTCAATCCCAAGGAAATAACGTAAGGGGCCTAGATCTTTCACTTCAAATTGAGTGGCTAGGAATTTCTTCAGCTTATGTATTTCAGTCTTCCAATCTCTTATGACTATTATGTTATCAATATACACAATTAAAGCTGCAATTTTCCCTTGACCTTTCTTCACAAACAGAGTATGATCTGATTGGCATTGTTTGAATCCCATTTGTTGTACAACTAAATGAAACTTACTAAACCAGGCCTGAGGTAATTGTTTCAACCCCATATAATATTTTTTTAACATGCACACCTTCTGCTCACTACCTTTGGCATAAAAACCTAGAGGTTGAGTCATGTAAACCTCCTCCTCTAGGTCACCATTCAAGAATGCATTTTTAATACCCAACTAGTGAAGTTCCAAGTCAAGCTTAGCTGCTAGTGAAAGGAGGATTCTGATCGAATTCATCTTGGCTATTGGAGCAAAGGTCTCTGCATAGTCTACTCCATATACTTGTGTAAACCCTTTGGCCACCAATCTAGATTTGTACCTTTCTACCGAACCATTAGCCCTATGCTTTACTGTGAATATCCACTTGCATCCCACTGGTTCTTTTCCTTTAGGAAGATCCACCAACTCCCAGGTGCCATTTTTGTGTAAGGCATTAATTTCTTCCTTCATTGCATTTGTCCATTTAGGTTTGGATAAAGCTTTTACCACATTCTTAGGAATAAAGACACTGTCAATAGAGGAAAGGAATGCATGATATGAAGGTGAAATATGATCATATGACACAAAGTGAGAGATAGGATGATTAGTAATACAAGATCTAACATCCATTCTCTTAGCAATAGGAACATCAAGATCATTAATAACAAGGGGATCAATATTAAGAGGTTCAGGCATATCAATGGGAACAAGTGTACTTCGCTGATGAGAAGGATCTACCACGAGCTACTTCGATAAGATGATGATTCTTTCTTTTAGCAACACTGTTTTGTTGGGGTGTCCTAGCACAAGAGCTTCGATGAAGGGATCCACACGAAGCAAAGAACTCCGTGAGATCACTATGGAAGTACTATTTTGCATTGTCCGATTGGAAAATATGAATTTCAATTTGGAATTGAATGAAAACCATGCATTGAAAGTCTTTCACAATCTTTGGCACTTGATCTCTAGATTGCATAGGATAAACCCAAGTATATCTAGAGTAGTCATCAATCAAAGTAATGAAATACTTATATCCAGTCTCAGTAGGTAGAGTAACAAGGCTTCTTTCTGTTTCCTTCTTTGCTTGCTCTTTCTGTTTTGAAAAATGAGCCAATCTCGTCTTTTACCACCCCGTCCTCTTCCACTTCTGGGATTGGGTGGAACTTGGGTCTAAGAAGGGATTTGAGGGAYTCARACTTYGACWATATTTTGAGCCTTMTTGCAATTCTTGATAACATTGTCTTAGACCCCACTAGGGCGGATTCTAGAATTTGGACACCTTCTCCCAACGACATTTTTTCTTGTGCTTCTTTCTTCAAAGT